GGGCCCAGGCTGGAGCAGGATTGCTGGCAGGGCTTGAGACCCCGCAGGGGACCCACGCTGGAGCAGCCTGTTCCTGAAGGATTGCACCCCATGGAAGGGACCCACTCTGCAGCAGTTCATGAAGAACTGCAGCCCATGGGAAGGACTCATGTTGGAGAAGTTAATGGAGGACTGTCTCCCATGGGAGGGACCCCACACTGGAGCAGGGGAAGAGTGTGAGTAGTCCTCCCCCTGAGGAGGAAGGAGCAGCAGAGGCAATGTGTGATGAACTGACCACAATCCCCATTCCCCGTCCCCCTGCGCCGCTGGGAGGGGAGGAGGTAGAGAAAATCGGGAAGAAGGGAGGCGTGGGGCAAAGGTATTTTTAAGATTTGGTTTTATTCCTCATTATCCTACTCTGATTTGATTGGTAATAAATTAAACTAAACTAATTTCCCCAAGTCGGGTCTGTTTAGCCCATGACAGCAATTGGTGAGTGATCTCCCTGTCCTTATCTCAACCCATGAGCCTTTTGTTACATTTTCTCTCCCCTGTCCAGCTGAGGAGGGGAGTGATAGAGCGGCTTTGGTGGGCACCTGACATCCAGCCAGGGTCAACCCACCACAGCTTTATAAATCTTAATCATTTTCATACAAAATATGAGAAGAAAGTGTGAATACACATATAGGAGTTGGAATGCTGCCTACACAGGGGAAGAAGATGCATGGTGACAGAGCCATCAGTATTGACAGCCACTTGAGGAAAGCCTGAATGGGCAGAGTAAATCCTGGAGCTTCCAGTGACATACATATTGCAGACAACATTTTCTATCACTTTGCTTTAACTATGCCACTTGCAAAGAGATCTGCAGTGCAGTCAAACCAGCTTTCTCATTGGAAGCAGCTTCCCGGGTCTTGCACAGTGAGGGGGGACACACTCCTCTGAACCCCAAAGCGTGCAGCGTGACAGAGCCAGCCTTCATCTTCCTGGCATTCCGTGTGGGAAGTGATCAAGCCTGACATCTTCCAACACTTCCCAAAGCATCTTATAGTAACACTAAGCTTTTCAACTTTATGCAGTGGAATTTTTTCACCAGATGTGACACCGATTCAGTCTGGTGGCTGGTGATGTGGCAGTAATTGAGAAAAACAATAATCTGTAAATTAAGTCTAATCATTAAAGACAAGAATGAAACCCCAATTCCTGGTTTAAAACCAGTTTCTCTCTGGTTTTGCAGGAATAGGTAAGATCAGGAATTCAAGGAGCCTTTGTCTCTGCAGTTACCCAGGTTCAACTCTACACCTTCTGTTATTCAAGGATAGGCAGAGTTATTTCTCTCAAACTCCTCCTGCAAGCTGGTTGCATGTGCGGAGCAGAGTCTGTTGCTTGTCTTCCTTGCCTTTGCTCCCCTCTCCCTTCAGGAATACTGAGATACGGTAGTATGCACCATCATTAATGCATACTTGTGCCTCATAGCTCCTTTCTAGCTCTGAATAAACTAAAAGATTCAAACACACTAAATTTGCACTGATGGGCTCTGAACATAAATAAAATAAAGGACAGGGAGCTAGGACCATTTGATTGCTTCCAGGAAACTTTCCATGCTAATTCAAGCAGGGCATACGATGGTTCTGTCACATGGCTGAAACTGATGTGATGACACGGTGGCCTCTTTCTGCATGGCTTTGCCAGAAGCTGTGCCAAAAGGGGATTAACAAGGAAGCGGAAAACATCTGTCAGGGATGATTTTATCCTTCAGGAGCAGTCTTCAGGGGGTATGTTTTGATCCAAGGAATATATGTGTAATCTAATGAATTCCGTGGTGGTCAGTAGAGCTCTGCTTGCAGCAGAATTCACAGATAAGAAGAGTCACTTGAAAATCAAGGCAGCAGAGAGACCTTGACTGCATGTGCATATCTAATACAGTTACCATTTATAAGCCTCATGCGAGGATCTATGTCTGGCAGCTTGCATACACCCTCAAGTTGTGCTGCCTTCAATCTACTGTATCAGTAAAATGACATCAGCGCCCTGCTGTGAATGTAGCATAATACTAACATATCAATAAAGTTATTCCCACATGAGGCAGTGAATAAAATAAAAACATTTTTTTATGATGTTGCTGCAGCTGTTAGTTACTGGAGTACTTGTAAAATCTGGGCCTGGCACAGGACTCAATGTGGCCTTTCTGGAAAGGGATACAGTGGTCAAAGATTACTGAAATCTCCAGTGCTTAGCACCAGCTGTAGGAGAAACCTGCTAAAACAATACTGGGAGCAGTAACCCACATTATCCTAAAAAGCACTTTCTCCTTTTGCTCAGAGGTAAGTGACTGCCAGAATACCCTGTATTTTCCTCTAGACATTTCTGCTGCATGAAGAAAAAGAGAGGAGAAGACAGGCTTCTCCTTACATAAGCTGCCAAACCATTTATACAGTCTCTGCTACCATCCTTGCTGCTGCCAGCCACCTCACAGCTCTCTGGTGACTCAAGATACATTATATTAGCAGGCAGAGTTCTCAGAAGTCCCAACACCACCTTGCTTGTCCTGCCTCTACAGCAAGGAGGGAGAAAGGAGAGGGAAAGAAAGAAGAAATACCTTGCAACTGCAGGAAATAAAATGAAATTATTTGGGGTTGGGGGGAAGGGTGTGAGAGGGGGAGATAATATCGAGTCTGATCAGGAAAACTGTGCCGTTCTGATTCTATTTCACCATCAATAGGCGTAGGCCCTTTATAACTGAAGAGAAGCTCTGTTATTGAAAGCTGGGTATTGTAATAATAAGAATAAATCAGATCTCACAGTGGCCTCAAAAAGACCCCCCAGGCACTTCAAGAATGACACAAAAATGAAGTGGTAGTTCCCCAGAGTAGCGTGATGAAACTTCAAATAGAAATACATTTAAATCAGCAGAAAAAATACGGATTCTTCTGTACAGGCTTTGTGGGCACTGCATCTGATTATGTGGCAGTCATAATTAATATTAATTTTGATGATATATGAATAATGATAGAATAATAACTTTCATCAACATCTGCGGCTGTTCATCAAATTGGCAAATGGTTGTATAGGTTTATTTCCCATGCAGAGCTTACTTTTTGCACACTACTTTGCACACGAGATCTATTGTCACTAATCACTTGCCTACTTTTTCTTCAGCCACCCCCAAACTTACTTCAGACCCTAGATGGTGAGTTTCTGGGGAGCTGGGACTTCCAAATTTGAAGACAGCGAGAGGCTTAGCTCCACAAAACTGCCAAGCCGTCTTGCTGATGCCAGTCAGTTGATACTACAGTATTGCTAGCCTGTAGAATGAATAGCAAAAACGGGGGCTAGAGCCCTGCTAGGATCTCTATACATTCAGGTAATACTAGCATGTGAAATAGAGGAACCAGCCTTGGGGAAACGCATGCCAGCTGCAGTAGCACTGGTTGGTGTGATATACCTATTCTTGCTGTGCCCTGCTCCCATAAGCATAAAGGGCAAAGTTTCTGCTGATTTAGGAGCTACAGGATCAAATACAAGCCCAATAAGTAAGCCTCTAATGGCAAGAAAACTGCACCCTGTCCCACTGATCATCAGGTTTCACTTGCATATGTGTACAAGCAGGAGTTTTAAGCCAAATTACTCAAGAAAGTGTTGTTGTATTTATGAAAATAACCAGCAACAAGGCCTCCTGTGACCACAGCTCTGTGTTCTATGTCCCATATCTCTTTCCAGTGCAAAATTCATTCAGGAACCTCTTCATGCAAGGGCCTCCTGTTACTTAGTCCTCCCACAAGAACTCAAATTCTTTCCCACTAGAACACAAAGGAATATTCCTGCCTCTTTCTCATAAGCCCTATCAATTTCAGATTTGTAGAAGATGGCAGATGCAAATTGGCTAACTGAATACTGTCAAGCAAAACAGACAAGGGCTGTGCATTCCCTGCCTTTCCTCTCAAAGACACTGAAAAGGCCTCTCTGTCCTCTACCCACCATTTCACAAATCTTGCCAAAAGTTAGTATCTTTGACAACACTACACCATTGTCAAATTTTACTGAAATTAGCTGGTGGGATGAAAAATTGCTGGAAGATGACAGCTATATGAATGGGCAAACAGATTGACAGATAAACTGTCAACATGAGCCCTTTTTCCTTAGGGAACTAGCTTAATAATAAGCATCGATATGACATGAGGATATTTGATATTCATATCCCTGAACCTATCATCTTCCCTACCAAGAAAATGAGGAAGATAGAAGAAATACCTTAACATTCTCCTCTGTTATGTACTTCTCAGCTTTGTCCACTGCATTCTGGCGGATCCGGTGAAGAAATGCCTGCAGAGATAAAAAAGATTATGTTCAAAGAGCTTGATACAGTTTGATTTCACTCTTTGATATCCTCTAGGTTCCCATCAACACAGTGTTAAAGAGTGTAAACGTTGACCAAATCAGCACCACACTTCTTAGACTCAGGGTTGCATTCAGGGTAACACAAAAGACATTTCCTACAATGTTGTTGGGTTTTGCCTGGCCATAAATGTCTTCCCTCTGTTGAAACTTTTAGACTTAATTATCTAAATAGACCACAGCAAGGGTCTCTGTTTTTTCTTTGAAGGTTTTCCCTCTCTCTAAGATGCAGCTGTTTTGACTTTGGGAGGCAGCATGCCTGACGCACATCAAGACATATGTCAGCAAAAAGGACCGCAAAGAATGACAAAAAGACATTCATGCTGCTGAAGCTGAGCATGTCAGAGCTATGAGCTAGCGTTATGGACAAGTTCAACAGACTCAATACTTGGGGAACAGAAATGGAAATCACCAGACAGCGCCTGGGACAGATTCTCCTATTCACTGTACTACATTTGGTTAAAAACAGACAAAACAATGCTGGAACTTTACACCTAGGCCAGGTTTCCCCTTCCCTCAGCTCTGCACAACTTTGGCTTTAACAGGCAAATCAATAAAAAGCTCCAGGCCACATACAAATGGACAGTGATCCCGAGTATCAGTCTTCAAAGTGTAATTCTGGCTACTGGAAGTTGGGACCTACTTGCATTTGCACTGAACATACCCAAAACATATTTGACCCAGTGGGAAGGGTTTAGCAAAGCACACTATATGGAATTTCTACCTCAAGTCTCCACTGTTTTAGCAACCCTTGGCTAAAGGGCACTTCTGAACTGAGAGTAGGGAATTTTACCTTCCTCAGGCATCACAAAAGAGAGATGCAAATACCCGCAGGTGAGACTGAAGGGAAGCCAGCGAAGACAGAATCTGCTGTGATAAACTACATGACCCATGCACAGAAAGGTAGAGGACTCTCCTCTCTGTCCTTGTTAGTGGTTTCTAACTCTCCTCCTACACAAAAGAGTGAGCCCTGGGGAGTGCTGTGAACAAGGAAGAAAGGAACTTACCCACCTGAGACAGAGAGGGGAAACAGGTCATTTTTTTTGTATTTATGGTACAAAGCAGCTTTGTTACAGCTTGATAATAAAAGGCTTTTAAAAGTTGAACTATTCCTGAGCAATGCCCATGTCAGCTGATGCACACTCAGCTTTTTCTTTTTTCCTTTCGCCTGTTGGGATTGGCAGCAGCTTACAACCTGATAAGAAGCAATGTCACTGAACCAAACTCAGCGCTTACGGAATGCCTTCGCCCGTGGTATTTTTGTTGGAAGACAGTGAACATGTCCCTCTGTCTGACTTCCAGCACTAAAAGGGGCACATTTCTGTTTCTGCTTAGCCATGGCTCTCTGTCACTTGTCAGCCATTCGCACTTTACAGGACAGGCACCAATAAAAAAGAGATTAATTAATGAGGCACACAGACCCTACATTTGTTTTCAGCCCTGGATTCTCAACCTGCTTTTGAACAAATTTCAAGGACTATAACCACGTTGCTCCTCTTGTATTGCTAAACAGGAAGGAGATCCTGGCTAGATTCCAGCTAGATATGGAGAGCTTGGAGCAGATTGTGTGGACTAAGAAGCCTGAAGAACAGATTCCTACATTAAAGGAACAGGACATGTGTGCCAGCAGCGGAAGAGGCATTTTATAAGAACCAGCCAGTCCACCTTGCCAATAATCTGGCCAGGAACTGCTGCAATGTTAATGTACTGCCCAGCACCTTGGCAACAGTCAGGGAACTGTCTGAGATGAAGTGTTCAGCATGATGACTAATGGCAGGAGGATTGACAGGAATAGCTGTTGCCCTCCTACTTCAATGTTGGGTGTGATATCTGAGCATTAATAACCAGGCATCTGATTTATATGAGGTAGCACATCATATTAAAGTCACTCATTCTCAAAAGATAAGCCAAGCAGAGACTTATCCTTACTTCAATCACATCTCTGTTTGGAGACAACAAATCCAATTGGAATGATTAATTAATCTACACGATTAACAGCTCCACTGGTGACTAATAGTTACCTGCATATTAGTCCCAGTATGGCGGGTCTAATAATAGAAAGTTGGTAAACAGAAGTGCAAATCACATTAGCTGTAACAGGCTAGTCAATAAAAAAGCAGAGTCTCTGTTAATCTAAAAAACAGCTTTTCTGTGACGCTTGTCTGAAAAGATAATTTAACGTGAGCATGAGAAAGGGAGAAAAGGAGAGAGAAAAATCAAACAAAAAATGAGAAAGGCATAGAAGCAGGGAGAGAGTAGAAAGGATTAGGCAGTGAACTTTGTAGATAGTTTGTCAAATCTTCTACAGCCTCTGATTTGTCTTGATGTGCATGAACAGCAGTCTCTCCAGTAATAATAAAACAAGACAGTTACAAGAGATTTTGGTCTTAGAAATTTAGTAGTCTAGTTTCCAAAATGCAATCCCCCCAAAAAATCAAAACTTAGTGGATGCAGAACTATTTGTTCCCCAGTTTTCAATACCTTCTCATGTGCAAACAGAATCTTTTGCAACACAGTCATTCAAATTAAAAAGCATGATAAACACAAGCTATTAAACAGCAGCTCATAGAGCTAATGTTGCATGCCCTGTTCACATGACAACATCACTTTCCTTCCAAACCGCTTCTAGCTTGGAAAAAGCAGCCCTTTTCCCAGAGATGTTGTTCAGACATTCAGGCCAGTGTTTTCCAAACTTCTCAAGATTTTTTGTGCTACTGGTTTTACTAGGCACTAAGCTCATCTGTACCAACACCATCCCTCTACTCACCCGGTGACACAGGCTCTAAGATCCATTACACAGGCAAAACAGGCAACTCTTTCCGGGAAACATAGCTACAGGGAGTGGTATGATGTTATATTAGACCGATTGACTTATCTGGAAAAATCAGACAGGTATTTGGGCCAGGACATGACAAATGTGACGAAAAAAGAGAGAGGGTGGTGCTGGTGAATATTAAAAAACTTGCCATGCCCACATCTTATTTATACTCCAAAACATATTGTTATTAAAGAGGAAGTAGTTAAGTTGGCCACTTAAAAAGTTATTGAGGCAAATGCTCTCTCTGGCTGCTCCAACTTCTTCACACTCCACACAACTCATATATGAATTCAAGGGGTCTAGTCCTTGGCATTTTCCATGAGGAACTTTCAGGAACCCCTCAGTTACAATCCTCTTCATCTGCAACACTTTCAATCTCTGCAAAAATGAACTCACTATCCTCCAGGGATATGTGGAAGCATAGGGGTCAGCTTTCTTGGGAGCTCCTGAATAACATTTCTAGGACGTGGAGACTCTGAAAATCATTCCTAGGACACAGCAGGATGATCACGATCATCTCTCCGCCGCAGTCGAAAGCTGAACTCTCTACTGTGGCGTGCTGTTGGTTTCCTACACTTACAAACTATCAGGGATTCAGGGAAGGACAGCAGCTTATGATACACAGTATACTGAAACAGCAGTCACACATCAGATCAGTAAGACACTGCTGAAGAGCTAGAGAGAGATGACCAGACAACAAAAGTAGACTCCGTTCCCTTCTATCTGCTTGTTGATTACTGGTCAGGACTGATACAAAGTTAAAAATTTCACAAAAAAAGAGACAAAAAGATGACAGATAAAATGACATCTTTCCTTCTTACCCCCATAGATGCTGCACTTGCTTTCTTGCCATTCATAGTGTTCTGCCATCGGCTCACACTGGGCCAGATCTCTGAGCAACCCAAGCTATATGGTGGACTACTACTTGTACAACAGAAGAGGGGAAAAGGACTGGTAGAGCCCCTGAGTCCAGAAGGGAAAAAATGTGAAACCAGACTGATAAATTTTCATTCTCCTGATAAAGGTCTGTGAAGGTCTCATCTTCCATGCATGTGTGCTAATCATTAGGAAAACAGCCCACAGAGGATTTGTTTTTGTTTAAAATTCTGCTGCTGCATCAACATAACATTTATTTGTGCACTGTGACTTGTTGCCCTAGAGGTCTGCCTCTTCAAAACTCAGCAGGCCATGTCTGATGCTCCTCATGTCATGCATAAACACAGTTTATAGCTTGTCTTATGGTACAAATGCCTTGCAGGATTCAAGAAAATCTACGACAAATCAGAATGAGCAGAGTGAAATGCTTCCTTTCTGCACCATATCATGTTGGGTAAGTTCCTTCCAATAAATACTAAGACAAACACATTACAAATCTAGAATGCATTTAGGTATAAAAGTTCATTTCAGTAAAAAGGCTTTTTAATGGCCCCTTTTTCATGAAGGTGTTTTGTTCCTCAGTTCACTATCCTTACAATCTACTGCTACAATGCAACCTTGTTGCTTTGAGTGTCTTTGCTGCACCACAAAAGCACGAAGCATACTTTAAGGAAAGAATCTGCTAATTGTGAGTTTCTCTCACATGAAACAGACTGAAGCAACTGGGATTTCTCTCAAGTGCTTTTCAAATGGCCCTTGTTGAATTTTCACTTGTAGCCTAACTTCATTAGGGAAAATTAGTGTTTACCACCTTCTGTGTAGCGTAAGTAACACATGGCAAAGACTAGGGACGAGGCAGTGACAGTTTGCTCGTGCCCCTTCTCAAAATTCATGTCTAAGGCAGATACTTCCTCAAATGTTCAGAAATAGGAAGAGATTTTTGATTAAACAGCAAGGCAGGCAAACTGTGTGCATAACCCTGAGGGAAACGAAAGGGAGAACAGAAACAGACAAACAATGATGAAGCAACCGGCTACCATATCCAGAAGGAACATATATGAAAGCACAATCCTGTGAAACCCATTTTCTGAACAGGTGACTGGAATTTCATATTGCCCTCAAGAGACAAGTGAGACAATTTTGTTAAATTCATCAGTGATCAGGACTGATTCAGAACAACACAGGGATCTAGATGAGCCTAGTATTTTCAGGCTCGTATTTCATTTATTCATTA